ATCCATATGTTTTAAAGACGGGGATTTTTCCTATCGGTCACCCCACTGTACATGTAGGGAACGATTGTCAGCTCATACGTCCTAATAATGATATTTCGCGGATAGAGGGACTTGTGAAATGCCGCATTTTACCCCCGCGACGATTATTTCACCGTTTTACCTGTCAAAGCACATGATAAGCTACTGTTTCCTCTCTGTCGGTCATGCTGCCAAGGTTTAGTGTAAGATAATTGCCCTGATGACGACCCCACTGACCGCGAGTTTTTGGGGACTTGGGTCGTCCCGGAGCTCCGTAAAGCTGTACAGGTGGGGTATAAAATTTTGTAAATTAGTGAAATTTGGGAGTATAAAAAAATAACACCTTATGATCCTCTGACACGAAAAGGATGTTTATTTGCCGNGAATCTGTTTTTTTTAGATTTAAGCGAATTTTATATTTTTTTAGATGATAATTAGANCTACTGTTTCCTCTCTGTCGGTCATGCTGCCAAGGTTTAGTGTAAGATAATTGCCCTGATGACGACCCCACTGACCGCGAGTTTTTGGGGACTTGGGTCGTCCCGGAGCTCCGTAAAGCTGTACAGGTGGGGTATAAAATTTTGTAAATTAGTGAAATTTGGGAGTATAAAAAAATAACACCTTATGATCCTCTGACACGAAAAGGATGTTTATTTGCCGAGTATATAAACACTTTTTCAAAAATCCAACAAGAGGCTTCCCATTGGCCGTAGAATGCGTAGATGATGAATCCAAGGATAGATATATAGCCGAATATGGGGCGAGAGAGGGAATACAAGTCGACAAGGATAAAATTTAAAAAAATGCTGGATTGAGAGCAGTAGCAAAACTTTGTTTAAACTGTCACTGTGGTAAATTTGGGGAAAGAGAAAATTTAACGAAAAAGGCAATTATTCGAACATATGAGGAGTTTGCTAACATGATGTTCAATCCTGAAATCGAAGTGATAGGCCTTGTCCCTGCCGATAACGAAATACTCTTCATGTCCTGAAAATATTTAAACGAAGCTGCGGAACTGTCTACCAAAGCCAACGTTGTTATTGCGGCTTATACAACAGTTCACGCACGTCTCAAGTTACATTCTTATTTAGAAAAACAGCAAGAACGCATTTTGTATTATGATACAGACTCGGTTATTTACGTGAGCGACGGAAATAACCAGTTACCACTAGGGAATTTTCTAGGAGATTTGACCGATGAAGTCGAGGGCTACAGAGAAAGCAGTTTTATTTATTATTTATCTTTTGTCTCAGGCGGTCCTAAATTTTATACTTATCGTGTAAAGAAACCNCGAAACTCGTCACTGAAGACTATCCTAAAGAATATGAAGTTGTGAGCATGTGTTCCAAAGATCTCACAGTTTACATATCTCGAATTGTTTATTCTCTTCCTCTTTATTTTTCTTTTTTCGNTCGCAGAAGTTAGTAAAATAAAAGGGGTTAGGCTTAATTACGAGACGCGTAAACAGATTCATTACGACTCGATTCGTGCCCTCGTTGTCGATAAGGTAGAGCCGTACCAGATCAACTACAAGGCTATACGACGGACAATGCACCATGACGTCATCACGAAACCTGAGAGCAAGATTATCTGCGCAACGTGCCCAAAACGAACCCTTGATAATAGCGCTGCAACCCTCCCCTATGGATATAAGACAAAACGACGCGCGCTTGAACCCGACGATTGAAAAACTAAAACGAATGAAAGATACTTTCGATTTTTTAAGNGCACGATCATTCGTTTTTTCGGCGTTATGTACTTTTCATCCTCCGTGTATTTATCAACATATACACGTACGCTTTTCTGACGACATCTATTCTTTAGTTTTTCCCTGTAATTCTCGCTTGATGACCGATCTGCGAGATATTTATCGAACAGTTCGACGTCTTGATCNAAGTAAGTTTTTAAAAGTAAGTTTTTTGTAAATGTGAATTTTTAATTTCAAAATAAAAGAGAAAATGTGACCTTTTTTTTGTTTTTTTAAATCCTTATGCTACAAGGAAGTAAATTTTTCAAGGTTTTCAAGGTTGATCAAATAAAGAAAAAGAAGGATATATCGTGTTTTTATTCAAAAAACCTAACTCTCAAAATACATTTCTTAAAATTTAAAACTTAATGCGAATGAATTACAATTGCTTTTTTTTCAATTTTGTTTTTTTCGCTGCGACGGGGGGGCACCTCACTCCCACTCCTCGAGGTCCCAGTTGTCCGTACTGCGGTTGAGATGATGGGAGCCCACCGAAGAGGTTGTGGAGGTCTTATAAATCCTCGATGGGAGATTCTACAGAGCTGGTCGCATGCATCTGAAAATTTAAAAAACGAGTGAAATTTGGGTGACAAAAAATCTACGGAAAATGCGACGAATAAGTTTTTCATTCAAACAATCCAGCACGGAAAATTTCTGCGGGAGAGAAAGCGAGCTAAAATTTCTGTCATAAAAAATTTCTTTCACAAAAAATTTCGACACTGAAAAATTAGAGGAAAACCAGAATATAAAAATTATAAATCGAAAACAACAACGAGACGAGACCCGAATGGAAAATACATGCAAACTCAATAAGAGACGTTTGAAAACTCAAAAAAATGCACGTATTTTGGAAAAAATTCAACTCAAAATTTGACGCTGAAAAATTGGACGACACCGGAACAGAAAAATTCGAAAACGAAAAAATCTAACACGGAAAATTTCAACGAGAGAAAACGCAAGCAAAAATTTCTTTCACAAAAAATTTATTTCAAAAACAATTTCGACAATGAAAAATTGGACGAAAACCGGAATAGAAAAATTCAAAAATGAAAAAAAAAGAGACGAAAACCGAATGGAAAATACATGTAAACTCCATAAGAGACCTTTAAAAAACGAAAAAAAAATGCAAACATTTTGGAAAAAATTGAACTAAAAACTTGAAACTAAAAATTTTTAAACAAAAAAAATATCTTTCTCACAAAAAAATGCACGAGAATCGGACTCTAGAAAATTACCCAGAAAATTATGAACAAGAAAACTGTGTGAACATTTTTTTTATACGAAAAACCGAACAAGAATTTTCTCTCCATTTCAGTGATGACTGACCTGACCATTTTCAAACTTTTGTTCTTTTTGTCGAAATGAAAAATCACACGGAGCACTGCACGAAAAACGGTCGAAACTCGTCACTGAAGACTATCCTAAAGAATATGAAGTTGTGAGCATGTGTTCCAAAGATCTCACAGTTTACATATCTCGAATTGTTTATTCTCTTCCTCTTTATTTTTCTTTTTTCGGCACGATCATTCGTTTTTTCGGCGTTATGTACTTTTCATCCTCCGTGTATTTATCAACATATACACGTACGCTTTTCTGACGACATCTATTCTTTAGTTTTTCCCTGTAATTCTCGCTTGATGACCGATCTGCGAGATATTTATCGAACAGTTCGACGTCTTGATCTCTCCAAATTTTATTCATTTTTACTGTCCTAAATATATTTTCACGAATGACTGACAAAAAATAAATCCAAGTCACTCGAATGTTGAAGAAATTCACAGCGGTCGGGACAATATGATAGGAGTGGGGGTAGCATGATAGAGGTGGGGGTAATATACATCATATGTAATCCATGGTAATGGGGGATCATATATGATGCCGACGCCGCAGCACTCCCTACGGTGGGGGTAGTGTGTTGGGCGCATAGGGGTCTTATGTGTATGGTGGGGGGGAATTAAGCGCACCCCACTCTCGTACCTAACGCTATAAAACGCGGCTGCTCGCGGTGTATTCCTTCCAGTCGATCCGATTTTGCTCATCAGTTTTTTAACATGGAAAATATCAACGAAAATGAGTGCAGTGGTGTCGAACAGCAGGTGGTGCTGTCGCAAGTTATACCTCTCAATAAGTCGGTGACGAAATAAATTCGTGTTGGTTTACAAGTTACCTGTCTCGGACAATTTGTTCCTGTGGTGCAGTTTATGGCCGTACGCATCAACCGTGTCGTGGTGTCAATGTCACGGGCGGAATGGGGCCTTCTGTACAAAGATCTGGATGCCATTACGGACTACTTTGATCCTGAGAATTTTCACCCAAAAGCCGTCCACAATGTACCTGCTAAGCAATTTTGGGATGTCAAAGTGAGATTCCATCGCAGCTACGATAACCCCTGCATTGTTTTTGTACGTACTGATGTAAGGCAACCCCTCATTATGATGAGTCCAAGCATTACAACATTAAAAAACAAAGCGTCATGGATCGATCAGTGGTTAAAATTTTTGGACTCATTGCCTCTCAAACAATACAAGGAGTCTCTGGTCCGGGCGATCACAAGTGTTGCCATGCATTATATGGAATACAATAGGATTCCAGCCCCTGAAGAACTGCACTATCGCATACGCAACAATTTAGAGGAGATTCACCTTCCGGCCAAGGACGACCTCCGCCGTACAATACCTCAGGAGAATCTGGGATATTTGTATCAACGAGATCGTCCGCGCGTGCTCCGCACGCGCTTTTATATCTTTTCTCATAGAAGTGATATAATATCATAAATATAATAATGAACATAACCCAAAATTCAAGATTTTCAAATCCCATTAAATGTGAAAAATGATCATCGTAGAAGAAAATAATATTCAATTGTATAATTCTGTGTACACATAATTTTTTATCATATTAAATTCTCTTCCAGTTTCTAAAAAAATTCGTAAAGATTCCCATGAGCGAACTCTTGAAAATGCTACGTATAATTGGCCATGATTAAAAACATCTTTACGAAGATCTATGCCAATTTTATCAAAAGTTTGACCTTGACTTTTATTGATCGTCATTGCAAACGCTAATTTAATAGGAAATTGGCGTCATTTAAAAGTGAATGGAAAGATATTTTCACAATATAATGTGATACGATTGATGAATACAATGTCTCCCGTTTTATCTCCAGTCAATATCCGGCATCGTAGCAGCCTATTTGAAAGTTCCAAAATTTGTAATCTGGTCCCATTACACATACCTTCCTTAATACTCAAATTGCGAAGTAACATAACAATACAATCTTTCCTCAAACGTAAGATATGCGGTGGAAAATTCGGAGGATTAAGTGTATTCAAATATTCTGGTAAAATTGCATCGTTGATATCTCCATTATCACAATTTTCTACACTATCAATACCACCATAAACACGCTCCGTTGTTTCATCTAAAAGTTCGATCGCTTCGCAGTTGATTTCATCGACATCAGCATTCCGTGCAGCCAATACAGCGGTCTTTGCCAAGTCTCCAAATCGACGTTCGTCAATGATTTTTTTAAAAATCGTCCCAACGATATTATCGGTATTTGAAGCTATGCATTGTTCAGGAGGTGATAGATTGTTATCATTATCATTCAATTCTCCGTTACCTAGAGATAAGAGATATTTAGCGAATTCGAACTCACTGGGTAACGCTCGCATATTTTCGGACAAAGAAAATATTGTAAAATTTCTCCATAAATGACTAAATTTGATCGATGAATTGACTAACTCACATCTGGTGGCATTCGGAGTAACTGGTAGTAATTGTCTGAAATCTCCACCTAATAGCATAATTTTTCCACCAAACGGTGAATCGTTATCCATAAAATCACGCAATGTTCGATCTATTAATTCCAACGCAGATCTCGGTGCCATAGGTGCTTCATCACAGATGAAAATATCAACATTTCTTAAATACTCAGCATTCTTCGATTGATTTTTTATATTTGAAACCGAGTCTGGAAATAGTGGGACAGGTATACCAAAAGTTCTATGAAGTGTTTTTCCGTGTGGAAGTAATATTGCTGCAATACCTGTGAAAGCCATTGTGCAGATGGATTTTCCTTGAGCTTTCAATAAATGATATAAAGTTGTGTAGACGAACGTCTTCCCTGACCCTCCTGGACCATCAATATAAAAACAGGAGGACGAAATTTTTTCAGTAGACATTGCTATATGCAGAATGTTATCAACAATTTCTTTTTGTTTCACATTCAATTGATTGTACTGATTTTGACCGATGTTGACGTGAACTTCAATTGGCAATTCATCATTGTTGCCATCATCGATATCAATTCCACATTCACTCAACTCTGGCATTGTTGGAAATGCGCTTATACTGGATCCTTCACCTATGAGAAGTGTATTGATAGTAGCGTATGCTCGCTTGTGAGATTCTGATTCATTATGATTTCGTTGAAAATCTTGTGAAAAAGCATCTTTGAATTTCTCCCATAATTCTTCTGGATGATTTGGATGACAATATATCAAAATACGTACAAATAAATTTCTCAGTTGACGTGGCATCATCCAAACTTCTCCTTCAGTCAGTGCACGATCCCATTCTTCGTCATCTTCAATTAAACCTAAGGCTAAACATGCACTTTGAAATGTATCATATAAGTTACCATTAACTGTCCTCACATCTTCGAAGCTGGTAGCACCTTTGACATTTATTAGGAGTAATCGAAGATGAAATAGTTCTAATTGAGTTGGACTTACCGAATACATACGCCCAATTATATTAAAATGTGCTTTGTGTCTTTCCCACATGCAATGATTTTAATTTGGTGATTTTTTGAAAACGTAATAGGACGGAATGTCGCCATACGTATGACTTCTAGCTTCTGGATCTCGCTGATTTAAGGAAAAGTAATCAACCAACATACTTATTTTTTCTAAGGCAGCTCTCATACCATCCTCATTTTGAACATCATTAATAATTATGTTTTGTTGGTTTGGTAAATGAACTGGTAAGCGTATGACTGAATGGCTCTTGTGTTGTAGAGGTCTGCCATATATTCGATCACATGCTTCTACTGGAGATACATATCGTGTATCTATGAAATTCCGAATTTCATCGTGGTGAATTTCATTATTATTGTCAGCATTACTCACTATAATCGAAGCTGAATCATGGCCCTTGTATATGTATTTATATAAATATTTCACGGATTTGATACTCGAAACAATTTCTACGTTGATATGACATCGGAATTTTTTCAACAAATTTGCATTGTAAGGAACGACGAATGAATTATCAGTTGCGTGTCCGTTAGAACGCTCATAAGTACCGGTATTCCGTCGGCGGTATGTAGGGTATCCATTTTCATCCATCAAAGTACTTTCTTGAAACTTTTTTGGGAATTTTTTTGTGCATTTCCCTTTCTCATTCTTACACCAATTACCGCAGGGTCCATGAATCATATCTTTTAAGACTATATCATGAAGTGTTGGGTCTATTTGTCGATCTGGAATCTCCGCGGAAATATATTTATCAACAGCATCAGGTGTGAGAATTTTACTGGTTTGCTTCAAATTCACCAATAAATGCATATGTGGTAATCCGCGTTTCTGGTATTCAATGACATATACGTATGCTGATACCTCACCGAATATTTTTTTCTTAAAAACATCATTGATAAGTTCACTTTTCTTTAAATCAAAGACTCGTGAAACAATATCTGGCCTGTCGGATGCCGTCTGTCCTGGTAGTGCATTCTCTTTAATTTCAGTCCAATTAGGATTGCAAGTCATAGTAATAAATAAATCCGGTTTACCAAATTTTCGTACAATAGCCATTGCATCTTGATAATTTTGTAACATATTACGGGGTGAACCGGTAAATGTTGATGGAAGGATGACCATTTTTCCGACTCGACTATCAGTATCATTCGCGCGTCGTTGCAAATGATCTACTAAGCCTTGATAGGTATCACTGCGGAGAGTTTTTTGATTTTGTCTACAATAGTTCAATCTATCTTTCTCAATTTTAACGTAACTGTCGACAACCCATTGTTGGTACAATCGTCCTCCCTTTAGGATTATATTATCATTTCTGTCGGCCATTCGGTATTTAGTGTATGCAGCTCGTGATACTCTCTTAGTTTTATTCACACAACGTATATTCGCATTCCATCCCTTGGTACCGTATGGGTAAAATAATGGGTAAATCCATGGTTCAACATTAGAGTCCATGGAATTGATGAATTGAAGTTCTTTGGTTGCTTTATTACGAACCGAAACATAAGATTTTGGTATGTCGCCATCAGCAGCTGTAGTAAAAATGACGGCAACTTCATTAATTTTTTGTAAATTGTACCGTCTATGATCCATTCCAGGTTTGAGTGAAAATATCAATTGCATTTCGGGTTCCTTTTCTGAATTCAGATTTCTCATTAATTGGAGTTCTTCGTGCATCATTCGGTAAGATTGAGCAAATATATTACACTGACGGAGGCAGTTATCCACCGCTTGAACTATTTCGCGATTCAATGTAGACATCAGATTGCACCGTATATCTGTAGCCTCATTTTGATCGATTATAAATAGTTGGCCATAGGATGGAGTTTCATTTGAATCAGGGTAAAGACTTTTATTGAACTGATAATATACTTGACCATGTAATTTGAAACAAACTGGGCCAGGGCGTCGATCAGAAAAATCAACTAAGTTGGCATTGAACGATGCAAAAGCGAATGCGTTGTTATAACAACGTATGCGTTCATGAAAGTGTCTCGATTGTTCGTGACTACCATTGAAAAGATTTTGGAGAATAGCTGGTGGGTTGGGTAACGGATCATGAACAACTTCTCCATGACTACAACAATCATTGAATGAATCTTGGCGAACTCTCTCGGCTGCGAAATGTCTAGCACGACAATGATAACATAAAACATCCATTAGACCAATATAGTGTTCTTTGATTTCTCTTAGAGGAGTGTTACTACTGCTACTCGTTCGATTTATCTCGCACGTAGTGGAATCATTGCCATCAATGTTGTTCGCTGAATTGAAAGAGATTCCGACTTCTAAGATTGTGCGATTGTTATCATTTTTTTCAGAAGATATGTTATATTCTATTACATTCTGGTATGAGTTGTTTCTTCCCAAGTTGATCGGATTCTCTAATTCTACACTACTATTATCATTTCCTGCAGAAGATATATCATGTTCAATTGCATTCCGACGAATATTGCCGGAACATTCACTATTTGATTGAGTCTGTGAAGAATCACGATTTGACGCAGAAAGTTCATTACGACGTTTTGCGCGGTACTCACGCTGATACGCAGCATTCTTTTCTCGGCGTATTCTTTGAAATTCTTCTTCTTCTTCCCTTGTGCGCTGAATTTTTTTTCTAGGCATTTTTGAATGTTGACCGACTGAATTTGAAATAAAAGGAACAAAAAAGTTTGTGATAAAGGGAAGTTTCACTAATAATGGCGGTTTGAATTCTAATAATAATGTTTTATTTTTCTCCCAAAAAAATTGAAGCGACTGGAATGTCCAAATGAATTTTAGAACAAAATCTGAACAATGCACGATAAACTTACCGAATGTAAGGAATTAAACTAATTCGCCGAATCCTGCTATTATTATTATTATTAGTATTATTATTATTAATTTTATCATAAAAAAGGAAGGAAATAAATTCAGAGAAATATCGGTTTATCTTGAAAATCTCGAAGGAACATAAGCGTAAGATCGGAACCGATGCNTTGACGTTCCAAGTTCAACTTTCGTATAGCTTCCATCAACCTGCAGGGCCACCTGGAAGGAAAAACCACAATTTTATAATAAATTCGATGTGAAAAGCTTTGAATTTTTAGAAATGTAAACTTACAAAATTACTCCAACTTGTTGTCTTATTCGATATCGAATCCCAAATCTGATGAGAAATGCTCTGTCGATCAATAATTAATGAACAACTGGTACTCGTATGGACTAATATTTCTGGAAAGATTGTATATCTATTTCACATTTATATTTATTCAACTTCGATTTGGATATTGTGTGAACGTAATATATTCGATATCACCCGAGGGACATCCCTCGTTTGACAAAAGTATTACGACAACTGATGTAAGAAAATATTCAGATTCACGTTTCCGCAATTCCAATATTTATTAGATGTTGCGAAACGTTCAACGTCAATTCAAAAAATTTGAATAAGAGACACAGATTTCTCACATCCACTCATGGTAATATGGTATATGAAAAAAAAAAACATTTTTATGAAATGATTGTTCTGTATATTTTGAGAGAGATCAATTACTTTGATACTTAATTTATGGCCAAATAGAATTTACTCGAAAAAAGAAAAAAAAACATGATGAAATTATCAATTCAATAGATGCTTGATTTTCTAACCTCACTTTACTTTATTAATACTTACATTTCGGATCAAAAACAATAGCTCGCCGTAAAACCAATTCGAGTGTTTTTTTCACACAGTTAATCCAATTGATTTATTACTCAAGAATTATGAAGCATATATGCAGACAATTAGACGATTTTTGATTGAAAGATTACGTACAATAGCTGTAGATCTTCACGTCGATATCGTCAATTGATATACATACACATAACCGTTTTCTTCTGGCATGAACTCAACGTTTGCCATCATTGGTCCTCTCCGGGACATTACATCATTATAAGGATCACCGTTCAAACTCAAAATAGATGGCAGCAAGGCGGAGCGTTTCCCGTTTGTTAAATGGATCACACAGATGGATACATTGATGAATTTCATGTTTCTCTTCCTCATGAAAAGATACTTGGTTCCCTGGCGCCATTAGTGTCCAAACTGAACACCGATGATTTTTATTAAGAACCGTTCTGCTGAGGGGTCACATGACCAAATTGATTTTTTAAATTACCGCCAAAATAATTTTTTGATTTTGGCTGTAATTTGAAAAATCAATTTGATTACGTGACCCCTCAAGAAGACGGGTCTTAACTGATATTCGAGTGAAAAAATCTGTAGTAAGATAAATCACAAATCAAAGGAGTATGAAACGTCACGTTTGGAATATAAATACTAAAAAGCTTCCTGAAAAAGAATAATTATTTTTCAAAAGTGGTAATTATACAGACGAAATCGTTGAAAACTGAAATTAATCTTTGTTGTGGAGTTAAATCAGGGAATTAATGATTTTTTTTATTGACAAATATCCTTTTCAGTCATAATAATTAACATTGTTCCATTATCTTGAACATCACATTAACTTATTATAATATTTTTCATCATAAACATTATTAAATTTAGTCAGTCAGTTATCATTAATACTGAACACATTGACTTATATTTTTTCATCACAAACATAATTATATTCAGTCATTCATTATTTATAAATTATACTGAAGTAACATGAATAAGTCATTTGTTTCGTTATTATTTCGTTTCGTTATTTATATTCCATATATTTCGAATATATGGAATATAAATAACTTATTTATATTGACTAATAGGAATCTGTCACTGGTACTATGAGCTAATACGAACGTCACACTGTGAACTTAGCTATCTCAACTTGTACTTTCAATGAACAACAAAGACTATGTTGTTAAAACGAAGTGAAATTATGAGAATTATGCACTGCAATCTTCTCGAAAACATAGATGCTGAACTTATCACTTTTCAATTACAAAAATTTGCTATTTTTATGGCCATTGCGCAAAGTACAAAAAAAGTACGAATACTTCTCAGTTATGAGAAATTTTAAACATAAGAAAAAAGGAATAATGGCGAAAAAATAGAAAATTTTTGTAGTATTTTACAGTTATGATTGACATTGACAGATATTTACTTAAAAATTGAGAAGTTACAATACAGATTTTTTTTTTCTTGGCGAAAGCGTGCGATTTTTCCTGGTGTTCAGTAGATAAGAAAAAAAATTATTTCTCCAATTTTGAGAATTGAAAGCATAACGAAAAAAAAAAGAATAATGGAGGAAAAATATCAAACTTTCGAAGTATTTTAGTTATGATGATCCATCTACACAGATTATTTGCTTAAAATTAAGAAGTTTTAATACAAAGACTTTTTTCGTGGGCAAAGTTTGCGGTTTTCTTTTCGTATTTAAGCAGAAAAACAGAAAAAAAATGATTTTCCTCCAATTTTGGGGATTGAAGACATGACAAAAAAAAGGAGATGAAAATAGATAAATGAATGAAATTTTGCAAATTTTCATGGTATTTGACCATTGAAGTTTCTGATGGCATAATGCTACACGTTCATTATTTTTTGTTACGAAAAATATGTGTCATTGAAGTATTTTTCTCTTATAAAATAATCTCTTATAAAATAAAACTATAAAAAATTAATCAATGAAGCCATGCAGTGTTTGTTTTTCAAATCAAACTATTTTAAAAAGTTTAGTAATTATGTAGCATCTGCGGAATTAATGTTGTTATCGATTTGGCATTGTCATAAAAAATCAAATTTGAAAGGAAGTCAAATTTTTTAGTTGACACGAACACATACAAAACGAAGTTTAACCATAAATTGCAAATTTCAATCTAATCTAGCTTGTGAAATCCTATCATTTTTCTAAATGATATGTAATAAAGATCTAAATTTGGAGATTGAGCAAGTGGACTTAATCACATTTTTGTTTCTGTAAAAATAAAAAGAAAACAATAATAACTTCGTTTCTAATAAAAGAAAATTTTCTATTTAATAAGTCACGAATTTTTAGAGAAAAAATGTAGCATAATTAATCAATCGAAAAACATGAAAGTCAAAATTCATATATTGCTATAAATAATAATATTTGATACCTTTTCAATTGTTATCTCCATGATATCCTCTGATTCTCTTTTGAGAACCAAGGGAGGTGATTCTACAGCCTCATCCATTTCGTCTTCAGTCATCGTGGGCGCTCCAGGAATAATAGAAACTTGATCCATAGTGGCAGTGTTGAGAACGAATGCATTTGAGCGACGATCAATTGTCCCTCGAATCTTAATTTTCATCCCTTCCAGGAGGTTTTCGTTAGGGACGAAGGTGGTCACATGAACAGTCATTCGATGAACCTCGGAACAAATCATTGCACTGCCGTAACTTGCACCACTGGCGGTTGAAATACTCCTAAAAGGCTCCTTGAGCCATCCTGAGATTTCAACTGGGCCACGTGCAGAACAAACGTCTTTTATCTCTATGGATTGGTACTTCACCACCTTGTTCAATGCCTCATCAGCGCCATTTGCAATGTCGAAGGTTCCAAGGACCTCGAGAGTGCTTCCGCGACCAAACTGGAACTCTTTGTCACTGACAGTATCGCCAGATCGGCGATACTGGAGATTGGCCTCTTTGATCACACCACCAGTAATTTTTATGATCTATAGCGAACAAATTGATTATTTTTATAATTAATTTCTCTCTTGAGAATTAATTTTTCTCTTGAGAATCTTTCGTTACAAAAAATAATTCAGAAAAATATAATTTAAAAGTTTCTCTTAAGTGAAATAAGAATGGGTTGAGAAATAAAATTTCATCAATTCAATCTTATTTGAACTGGTTTTTTCTTGGATATAAAAAATTTTTGTCAACTTTTTTTTTAGCTTGTCATTTAGAAAAATGTAAAAAATGTAATTTAAAATTTTTTGGAATCCAATTAGAATGGTTGAAAAAATTAATTAATGTTTTTAATTTAATATTATTCAAACTGCTTTTTTTGTGCATATAATAGATTTTTGTCATTTTTTTTCAGTTTGTAAAAATAGGAACTTCCGTTGAGGGATGATCACTATTTTCCATAAAGTTGATCCCCTCAAAATTTACATTTTTTAGCATAAAAAAAATACGTGAAGCATTTTTTTTTATTTCTTACTTGGTACATGACGATTTCTGAGTTGTACTTCAAAGCATCATCCCCCCAGAAGATGATGCGAACCTTCTTGTCGTCATTGTTATTCAAAACGCATTTGTAAATCCATTTGGATGCAGATTTAGGCAATTCTCTCAATCCCTCGATGGAATCCACGTAGCCAACGATTCTCCTGAAAGGAAAAAATTCAATTTTAGCATTTTATGAATAACACGTGGTAGTGGGAGGTTAGGATACATTAATGCATGATAAAACGAAATATTAAACACGTGGTAGTGGGAGGTTAGGATACCTTAATGCATGATAAAATAAAATATTAACCAAAAATAACACGTGGTAGTGGGAGGTTAGGATACCTCAATGCATGATAAAACGAAATATTAACCAAAAATACTTACATAAGAGTCGCTCCCGCATTGAAATGATCAATTGCCTTACTCGATGTGTATTTGATCTTGGTGGATGCCATTGTTTGCTTTGGATTCACTTCACTAAATTTCAGCGTCGAAAAATGCAAAAATATCACCTCGTGCGTAACCGGAACCTCACCCGAGCGAAGCGCCAGAGAAAATGAACGTAATTCTATTCACGGCCACGACGTCTGATGGCGCGTCGGATTCAGTCTTACGCGTTTCGATAATTTCGAGATGGAGAGATACTTCGATATATCGTTTCGTTTCTCCTTTTTATATTAGGATTATTTGGTGAAATTTTTCACTTCTGCTACGACGAGTTGGATGGTTTTGCGGGAGGGGCTTACCGAATGCCTTCATACTATAGACTATATGATAATAATAATCTGTTGTAATTGTAAATAATTTTAAATTGGAACGAAAAAAAAAATCATTTGTAAGCCTAAAAATGTATTCCATCATTTTACATGAATTAAAGAAAAAGTCATTTGTAAACCGTGTGTTATTCATTTATGAAAAACCTTGACATTTTTTCAGCTACGTAGAAGTTTCCAGAAAAATATATTCGGCTCCATGTCAGCTTGAAAAATTCACCGTCCTCAAAATAAAAGAGAGAGAGTGAACGTATTGTCCGCTCTTTGCGTCATTCATGGTTGCAATCCTTTGTTATCCCTTTACAAAAAAATTACTCAAAACAGAAATTGTAATCGTAAAAATTTACGTAAACATTTTCAAAGATTATCTGGCAAAGGTATTTTACATTGTAATCAGCGTTCCTCTAAAAAAATTATGTGCCTTCATTAATTGATGCATAATAATAATAATAATAATAATAATAATAATAATAATAATAGTGACCATCATCATTCTTTACAATTAAGAAAATTATGTATCCTAGACAATAAGAATAATTTCTGAATAAATAATTTATCTAATCCTATAAATTGTGCGTAATGTACTTATTTCTTATGACCGTCACCCACTTTCCACCCGACAACCATTCCCACCCATCGCCCCTTTTCCACCCGCCACCTCTTTTTCATCTGCCGGTCATTTTCCCCCCACCACCCACTTCCTGTGACCCTCGGACCACAACTTTGAGGCCCTGCACCCCAGGGGGCCCCCAGCGCGCCGACATCCTCTTCAAAAGGCATGCCGCCGAAGTGGGAAGGGGACGTGGACGTGCATTTCCTGAAAAAAAAAGGGGGGAAGGGGAGGGAATTCCTGGAAAAAAATTCGCCAATCTCGGTCACTTACTACTCGCACCACTCGTCCTCAAACATCTCACATGTTTAAACTCAATATCTAAAAATGAAAAATAGGAAAAAGATTTTAATTGTGCTAATTAATTATTTCGAAATGGTACAATGTGTCCTTTTTCCCTATATTTACATCATTTTTTGAGACGTTTAGCTTCAAAATGCTGTGATGGAAGTCGTACTGCGCGCGCATCATAAGTTTGCGTGATGCGCTCCTCTTCAAAACTGGCATAACCTTTTTGAGTCTAAATGTCCGACAATAAAATTTAAATATAAGAAAACAGTTGAATAATACTGAGTAATAATTGCATGATGGAATTTACCCCCTTTTTCTTATATTTAAATTATGGTGCGAGATATTTAGTCTGAATATTTTCTGGTGGGTTTGTGTTGCGCGCGCACGCTGGGTTTATGTATGGTGCGCTCTACTTCAAACCTACCATAAGATGTTGAGGCTAAATATCTCAAAAAGAAGTTGAACATAGGAAAAAGAGTTGAACAATGCTGATTAATCATTATTAAATATTACAATTTACCCTTTTTCTCTACATTTAAATCCTTTTTTGAAATATTTAGCCTCTCCTTCAAGAGCTCCGTTAGATTTTTTTATCCCATTTTATTCTCATTATTAATAAAAAATTACTCAATTGGTATGTTATTTATCTTTTTTTATTTTGTCAAGAAATATATATTAAATGTTACAAGAATCATAAATCCATCGATAATCATGAGAAAAGCATCCAATGTGATAATTGGCAAATGGCACCATTTTTTCTGAACGGTACAAGTCCATCCACAACATCTCCGCCATTTATGGATGCTGGATGATGTTGATAGAATCGACGATATTGCTGAACGTCACTCATTTCCTTCAACCGCCATGTTAATGTCTCCCATAATTCGTCAATGTGTTGCCATGCAAATTTTAACAGAAATTTCTTCAAAAAATGTATGGAATCAAGTTGTCTCAACCGCATATATTGTATCCAATCGTGAAAGTTGTTAGCGGGATCCAAAGTTGAAGTGAAGTACAGTGTGTACCATTTCTTCAACTTCTCGCACTTTTCCAATGCACAGGTGTAATTTTCAATAAGACTGTGCTCTCTATGATTCCAACAACTCGGAACAATTGAATCCTTTGCTTTCGAGCACCCCAAATCATTCAAGTCGATAATCATCTTATTAGTATAGGACTCCAACCATTGTTTCTTTTGTAGTCCATTTACCAAGATAATTGTCACTCCTCGACTGATTTGCGTTATTGTCTCTTCAATTTCATCATATGGGATGGATCCTACTTCCCATAGAATTTCGTGATGTTTATTAATAATCCACTTATTTACACCACGGTATTTCTTTGATAACTCATGCCATCCATATGGAGGTTGGAAAAGGAGACAGGCACAATCATTGTTTCCAACTATTTGAACTGCCAGTTCTTTAACAATAAATTTTTCGGTTGGGTGTTGAAAACCTTGCACATCGAGAATCAATATTTTCTTTACGCACTGAACCCTGCGATCATGACTCTGGCAGATGAAACTTTGAATTGATGATGAATATGGTGAATTCTACTGATTTTTATAAGGATCCGCTCACCCCCCCCCCCCCCCC